TTCAAACAGTTTGTTACATCAGTGACTCTGTTTCAAGTATCAACTGTGTCCCCAATGTTCCGTCTGATTAAGAGGGCTTTCTAGTGTCTGTGTTGCATCCGTCCCTCGGTTCCATTCCACAAGCCCAGTTGGCTAAGGGAGATGTAGATTATTCGCCGTCTGGTCTGTATGCTAAATCGGATAGAATGCCCATTTGGGGGGCAAGGTGAAGACAGGCCGAAAATCGTTGCCGACGATGTGTGCTTGTAGCATGGTGGACGCAGAGAAGTAATAAGTTTGTAGTGACAGTAGACCTACGCCGCCTCTACTGCGTTCTCCCATCCTCGCCCATTTGGGCGCGGTGTCCTGACCGAGTCAAGATGACCGGAGGCAGGAAGAGACGCAGTCGGCTGGCGCATTGGTGACCCCCCGCCTACCTAAGCGTGTCACTAAAACTGTTCAGATCCTAGTAAACGGGAGTGCCGTGGATATCTAATTCGGAAGGCGTCATCGCAGTCTAGCTCTCAGTTCACCGGTTGGCCACATACTTGGCAAGAAACCACGGCTTCTAGCATGCCACAGGTCAGGTTATTTATAACGAGAAAATATACTCTAAGACAACGGACCTCTCTTCTCATTCCGTTATTCGACCCCATCAGTTACGTGGTGCGGGGAATTGCCGCAGTGCTTGACAGACCAAGAAAGGTCGTCTGCGCATACCACATACAAGACGTGCCCGCCAATTACAACACTTAGATTTCACACGAAGAGGTGATCGGATGTGATCACACATGTAGCAGGGGAGCCCAAGAACAAACTTCCTCGTCTTTTTTCGGGTGACCAAGAGGTAGCGGGATAGTTATCTCTTAATATCAATGGTGTAGAGGGGACTAGGAGACAGAACTAATTGAAAGTCAGTTGTCGTGGCAACGTACTCATTGGGTGGGTCACGGAGTCCATTTGCAGTGCAATCAGATCTGACTTTGACTCTAGCGGCTTTACTTTCTGGACGGACGTCCGAAGTAAGGCCTTTCTATGTGCATGGTAAACGCCTCCGCTGACGCAAAAGATTCGGCTGATTCCCTAGCGTTCTTATTACAACCCGAAAAATTTCTCTTCTGACAACTCTCAAGACCTTAATCAAATTTTACGTGGTATATTTTTCTCAGACCGGAAGAGAAAAACTTACTGCTAAACGAAAGGAGGGTCTAATAAGCAGGTGAAAAATTACTTCTTGGTACCATATCATTTCCTTTTATCGGGAAGATGTACGTTCCGTAATAACCCCCAGAAAATGCACTGCAGCAAATTGACGCTGTAATTACACTTCCCGGTGCCGATATCAGACTTTCTTTTTCTAAACCTTTATGTGGACACAGCTTCTAAGCGAAGGACATATATCGTCTGTGTGGTTAGGTCTCACAACCCAGTCTGCACATTTTAAGGTTGACTACAAGCGACCTCGGGTGAAGACAGTCGAGTTCGTGGCTGTTCTGTTGATTAGCTTGTTTTCAAACTAGTCAAAGGTTCTATCGTGTGTACAGGCCTACTGGGAAAGAAATGTAAGGTGGGAAGAAGCTGAACCTTAGTCGGAAACAAGTATGTGTACTCCTCTGAGCTATAGCGTAAAACCACCTTTAATATGGGAGGCGTGGCAAAAGGGATCTGCTAGAAGAAACGAAACTTGGTGTTATTACATAAATGCAATAAATTCCCTATCTCCATGAAATGTCAGCCAACATTCTGAAATGTGTTTTTGATCCGAAAATATCAATTATGTTTGTAATAATCATAACCGTACAGACTAGTCTCAATTTGTTTCAGTGACAGCCGGAGGCCGGCTCTTGAAGGAGCACCCTTCCGATCGCTTGCAGGAATTATACTCTGTAAAAATAGCTACCTAAGTAGTACGCACTTTTCTCATTGCTTTTCACTGATTTTAAAATAAATTTTATAGAAAACACGCACAAAAGTGTTCTTTTTATTTGCTTGGTAGCAAATTACGCCCTTTCCGAAATTTATAATTTAGGAAACGGTAAATTTCGGTTTTAAAAAGGTTTCTAATTATGAGACTCTTTACGACCGTAAAATGTGCATTCATAAGGCAACCTATCTGTCCATTATACACATTGACCGAAATCCGTTGCAAAGTTCTATGAGAACTATGTGACTTCTTCTTCACACCGTAGAAAACTATTTACATTTCTTCAGATAAGATGTGTATATCATGTAGTTTGGAGACCTCTAATTCAAGTATAACGGCTGGTAAGTTTCAAAATTATTCAATAATTTGTTAACCCTTTTTAAAATCGAAAGATACCCTTTTTTCAAGCATAAAATTCCAAGAGGACATAATTTTCAGCCAAGCGAGTAAAAGAAAAAAACATTTTGTGTGTATGTTTTCTCTATATATTATTTGGGCAACAGTAGCTTATGTAGGCCCACTCATTAATCCCTACTCCCTGCATGCTTTCTAACGAAAACGGTGGTTATAGGGTTTTATGGATGGGGAATTAGAACACGCAGTGGAATATACCTTAATAAATGCTAAATGCATTTATATTTTACTGTATTTAGCAGTGTCGAAGATTTTCCTCATGTGTATTATCGTTTACCTTGTTGCGGAAAAACCCGATTATAAAATTACAGGTGTGTTGAATTTCCCGAAAAATTGAAATGTTGGTAAGAAGGTAGTCTAGTTCAATTTACCTGAGGTCCAGTTTGCCGTTCTGGAGTTAGATAAGTGGAGTCCACGGCGTGAAGCACCACGCACACCTTCAATTTACATGCGGAATAACTTACTCCCAGCGGCCGCGAGAAGCAAAAAAATTTCCTTATCTGTCTATCCTTTTTCCTCACCCCTCAAAACTCTATAACCACCGTTTTCGCAGGATAAAATGCTGGGACTAGGGGTATATGAGTGAACCTACATAAGCTACTTTTGCCAATATTTGAATTTATAAGAGCAGTGAAAATCAATGCGAAAAGTGCATGCTACTTAAGTAGCCATTTATTGAAGAGTATACATTCTACGGGCGGTCAGGAGGGTGCTCCTTCAAAAGCCAGCATCCCGACATGACTGAAATAAATTGAGATTGGGCTGTACGGTTACCATCCTTACAAAAATACATAATTATTTTTTCGGATCCAAAACACATTGCAGAATTTCGACTGACATTTCATGAGATATAGACTGTAGTGTAAGAAGGGCAGATCATATCTGTCGCAGACACAATGGCTCCCTACCTAGTTTAATAAACTTGCAATAAACGAACATTTTTTTCATACACTAGAATTCGATGTATCCTATATTAACAGTCGACAACCATAAAATGAGATTACCACCATTCCCATACTGTAAAATTTGTGCGGTAAAACACGGGTACTGGTCAGGTCAGGTAAGGTTTATTAAGAGAAATACAGGCAAACGCCTTTGAGCTCCTTACTGGAAACTCAACAGCTAAGAAAGGCAAAGGTATGATTTTTTTCCATTTATAAATTCAAATATATTTTGTGCGCAAAAGTGTTCTTTCTTCTACTTATTTCGTGGCAGCTCGTGTCTTTAAGGTCTACCCTAACAAAAGAGCTAGGTTTCAGTTTTCCAAGAATCATTTTGAACCTGACCTGGTGTTGCATTTTCATCCAGTGTTTCTAGTTCGTACGTCTCGTATTTTCCGTAATTGATGGCTATTTTGACCTTTTAAGGACTGCACGATTCGCGCACATGTATAACGAACGTTTCTTGCACGAAGTTGACAGAAAAGATTGCTGAACTGACATTGCCAAGAAGTTTCAGCTAGTTGGACTTGGATTGACTATGGTTTTTTTCTCTTTGTAGTACATCCCGTTCGACTATAGAATAAATATAGGCACCTCTCGGAAGATATATATTATCGCAAAATCTGGCATTCATGGGCATCCACTTGTTCAAAAGTTCAAAAAATAAATATAAACCGATGTCAATCTTCTTAAGTCTTTTGTTCCCAAAATGGGCGAACCGATATTGACAAGATGTTAAACCCATTCTTCGCATAAACCAACATAAGCAATCCAGATCTCGCCATTTTGCCAACCTGGGTACAATTGCGTGGCAAAATGCAAGCTGGAGACACATTTTTCTTTCATTGTAAATCTAAGTAATTTCTGTGTCTGAATCCAACACTAGGTACCTAGAATCACACCAAAACCCTGTTGTGTCAAGATACAACGTACTCCAGCGTCAAGTAAACTTATGGGAAACACAGAAATGGTGTGTCATTGTTTCTGTAAAAATAGTCGACGTTGTGGCTCGATACCTAGGACGGCATGATGCCGAATAAAAGTCTCTCTCAGGCCCAAAAGACAATCAATGACTTAAACCAACGGCCTACATGGACCTTTCCTACAGAAGAATTGTCACCGAGTTCACTGTGAGACAATTAAACGAAGGTGCTAATAGCCGATGTGGTTGGAAGGTTAGGGCAACATTTTCTAGGTAGCCTGCGACGACGAGCATATCATCGATACCTAGCAACTATAAAGAGTTTGTAACTTTCTTCTCGGATTACTGATGTCAGTTTGGACGCCGCGAATAAAAGTAATAAGTAAAATCTGGTGAACAAGTATCATGGGATTTAAATAGCAGACTCAGGCAACATCTGTTATACTCTGTCATCCGTAAATCTTCTTGACTCGGTGTCAAGGCGGAGCAAGGAAGACCGGAGGCGGGATCGAGTTCGAGAGCAGCCAGTCTACGCATGCCATACACTCCTTCTCCGGCCAAATAGAGCGGTTTAGATCCCATCAGCGTGGCAGTTCCAGAGTGGTC